GCAGTGGCTAGGAACAGCAGCGGGAGTCATGGCTGTGGGGTCTGACCTTTGAGGAAGGGGGGCTCATGCAGAGCGCTCAGCGGGGATGGCTGTGGAGGCTCCCACCCTGAGGCATTCAGCAGAGGGCAGCGGGAACTCTCAACACTGGGGTATTGCAGAGGGCTACAGTCCTGACCTTTTGGGGGTCTGCAGAGTGCGCAGCGGGGATGTCTGCGGAGGCCCGGTCCCCCCACCCAGGCCTCCCAGCGGCTTCCAGGGAGGTAGATGATTCCAGCAGCGTGCACAGGAACAAAGAGGATGGCTTCTTCCCGTGCCAGCCTTTTTAAAGCTGTGTGGGACGCTGCTGGATTGCCTCGACAACGGCTGGCCCCAGCACCGCGTTGCCGGGGCAACGAGGCATGCCCCACTCTTGCCACGCGGGGGAAGCGTGGCCTTGGTCTCCGGCTGCTTTGCCTGAGGAGAGGTGCTAATCGCACCACAGAGGGCGTTTCCTCCCGTCCTGCACAGCCTTTTCATGTAAGCTGGCAGGATGGAGAAATCTGCAAGGGGGGAGGGAGGGGTGGAGGGATACGGCAGAGGACAGCAGGCAAAGGGGGGTGGGGTAGGCACGGGCACTCTGTGACAATTGTTTTGGGCCCCCGTACGTGGCTAGGCTGCCAAAATGTCTCACACATGTGGCATGCCCATACTCGGGAGAAGTAGCAGAATGTTTTTGGGGTGTAATTCCACATATACCTATGGCATGTGTGAGACATATCTCATTAAAGTGACAACTTTGTGTAAAAAAAAAATCAAAATTTTCCAAGTGGAAAAAAATAAAATCTCCCATGGACCCAACATGCATCTCAGCAAATACCTTTGGGTGTCTACTTTCTAAAAAGGGGTTATTTGGGGCGTATTTATGTTGCCCTAAAATTTTTGCACCTACAAAAATGTGATAGGCAATCAAAGTAAAAATTGCATAAATTCCAGTATATATACCATAGCTTGTAGACTCTAACCAATAAATTATACACTTATTGGAAATTTTTACCAAAGACATGTAGCATACTACATTTAGGCTAATAACCAGCTAGTGCAGCACTTCACATTTGTTACCTTCTGTAGTGCAATATAGTAAACAACATTATAAGCAACAAAGTCTCAACATTTCATTAATGCACATTAAAATCACCATGTACAGTGTATTAGAATCACAGCCCACAGTGCTGACAAAACCCTATGTCACATGATGTAAACATGTTAAAACTTAGCAATCACTCAAAAAGCATGAGGTCAAAATCTTTATTCAGACCCCTAGGTGCCAAAGATTTAGGCTCATGAATCCACCAGGCTTCCCTTTTACTCAAGTCTCTAACATCATTCTCCTCCAATTACTTTTGTATTCCTCTATACCCCGAAATTGTAGTCCCCTATGGTCTCTATTGTGTACCATGCAAAAATGGTTGGACAAATTATGTGTCTTGTATACTCTACTGATATTATACACATGTCCCCTTATCCTGTCCTTTAAAGCTTTTATTTCTTCATATATAAATTTAATTGCATGGACATTTTAGACCACATCTCACTCTTTTAGTTTCACAGGATGTAAAATCTTTTATCATGTACAGTATTGCAACCCCGTACCAGGGTTGGTAAATTGACTTTTTCTGGGGTTATTAATTACTCTACTGCAATTATAGCACCTACCACATGCATAAAATCCATAACCCTTAAAGAAACTAAAATTTCTACATACTGGGGATCTATTACATTTCTCACCAATTTATTTCAGAACATGGGGGCTTTCCTTTATATAAATATTGGCTTTTCTGATATAATTGCTTTAAAAGTTTCTTATTTCAGCAACTGCCAATGTTTGTATATAATACGCTCCACTCTTTTATATTGAATGTTTTAATTAAAGGAGACATACAGCCAAAGCTCTTTTGGCTGTTGTTGGAATATAGAGTTGTGAAAAAAAAAACTCTATTAGTATTCTTGTATTTGTAGGTGGTTGTGGGAAGAAATCCTTTTCAAAGCCAGTTAGGAAAAAGCAGTGTGACTTTATTTAATCACACACCAAATAAGATACAAACTCAATAACAAAGTATAGCAAATTCAAATACAAAAAGATATGTAGCTTAAAATGAAATAAAAATAAAGAATATAAGTTGTTTGTGCCTTGAATATAAGAAGAAATGTAGTTCCTTTGTTAAAGCATGCCATGTGCTCCTTTGTTCTCTTAGCTTGGCCTAGAACCATGTGCTTCTTTGTGTAAGAGTGTGTGAGAATGTGTGTGTGTGTGAGTCTCCTTTGTAAGAGACTCCTTTTCTAAGCCAACCTGTGCTTAAACTGCTCAAGAAAACCAAGCCCTCCCACAATTCTTTGTTTCAAATTTGTGGGCTCATTAACCACTCCCCTAGTCACCTCCCAGTGTATCCAGTTAATAACATGTGTTTCCTGTTCAGTCACAGCTAGGCTAATTAACATGACTGACAACAAACTCAGGAGGGAGGGGGTTAACAACTGGAGTCTTGTGTTACATATACAACTGTCTGAATACATGATTTCTGAATACAATTTAAACTCTCAGACTCATATGAAATCAAAACAAGATATACTTTACATAGGCAATTCTAAAGAAAACATAAACTTAGGCTTTTCGTAATTATCCAACCCAGACACAAATAATTCACATCTGTTACTACTCAATTTCAAAACCTCGCATTCACATCCAATTAAGAGGGTATATATCCTGCCAGGCATATATCAGAACTTCCTAGAGACCAAATTAAAATTTAGATAATAATAATTAATATTACAGCTGTACTTCTGTGGATCACAGGAGTGCAGTTCGTTCTGAATCCCACTTTCGGCTGACGTCACTCAGCTGGTCCAGACTGGGGAAAGATCCCGACTTTAAAATTGGGATCCACCCCAGAGTCTAGAGTGGCACCTCAGCCACACAGCAGTTTAACAGGACAGGTTCCACTCAGAGCAGGCCTCACCATGGTCAACCAAAGAAGTTGAGTGCACATGCTCAGCGTCATATCCAGAGGTTGATTTTGGGAAATAGATGTATGAGTGCTGCTAGCATTGCTGCAGAGATTAAAGGGGTGGGGGGTCAGCCTGTCAGTGCTCAGACCATATGCCGCATACTGCATCAAATTGGTCTGCATGGCTGTCTCAGAAGGAAGCCTCTTCTAAAGATGATGCACAAGAAAGCCTGCAAACAGTTTGCTGAAGACAAGCAGACTAAGGACATAGATTACCGGAACCATGTCCTGTGGTCTGATGAGATCAAGATAAACTTATTTGGTTCAGATGGCAATGTGTGGCGGCAACCAGGTGAGGAGTACAAAGACAAGTGTGTCTTGCCTACAGTCAAGCATGGTGCTGGGAGTGTCATGGTCTGGGGCTGCATGCACTGTGGAGCTACAGTTCATTGAGGGAACCATGAATGCCAACATCTACTGTGACATACTGAAGCAGAGCATGATCTCCTCCCTTTCGGAGACTGGGCCGCAGGGCAGTATTCCAACATGATAAAGACCCTTAAACACACCTCCAAAAAGACCACTGCCTTGCTAAAGAAGCTGAGGGTAAAGGTGACTCCAGACCTAAACCCTATTGAGCATCGGTGGGGCATCCTCAAACGGAAGGTGGAGGAGCGCAAGGTCTCTAACATCCACCAGCTCTGTGATGTCGTCATGGAGGAGTGGAAGAGAACTCCAGTGGCAACCTGAGAAGCTCTGGTGAACTCCATGCCCAAGAGGGTTAAGGGAGTGCAGGAAAATAATGGTGGCCACACAAAATATTGACACTTTGGGCCCAATTTGGACATTTTCACTTAAGGGTGTACTCACTTTTGTTGCCAGCGGTTAAGACATTTATGGCTGTGTGTTGAGTTATTTTGAGGGGACAGCAAATTTACACTGTTATGCAAGCTGCAGAATCAATTCTTTACATTGTAGCAAAGTGTCATTTCTTCAGTGCTGTCACATGAAAAGATATAATCAAATATTTACAAAAACGTGGGGGGGGGGGTACTCACTTCTCTAAAGTACTGTATATATGAGTTTCAGTTCGTACTCTTAAAAAATGTTTTTGTATAAATATCATGCTTTCATCATGCCCCCTTAAAGCGGAGTTCCAGTCACACTGTAAAAAAAAATAAAAGTCAGCAGCTACAAAAACTGTAGCTGCTGACTTTTAAAAAACAGCCACTCACCTGTTCCACGATCCCACGGTATCCTCCCCGCAGCCTGTTTAACCAGCCGTCTGGTGTTCCAGGTGCCGGAATCTTCAGTGTGGGCATCCAGCTGTGACAGCTTGTGGCTTCACAACAGGTGCCCACTGTGTATGCGCGAGTAGCGCTGCGCTTCCTAAATGGCCCTGTAGTCTTCTGGGACCTGTCACGTGTCCCAGAAGACTACGGGGAAGTAGGGTAGGAGGACAACTTCTGCTTCTGATCGCCTAGGCCAGTGGTGGGCAACATTTTTTTTCAACTGAGCCAAATCTCGCCAAAACCACGATTGAAATTTATTTTGAGAGCCACATTTTTAAAACTGAAAATACATAGGATGGTACACTGTTTTTAGTTTCAATAAGTTTTTACAGTAATTCATCCCTGTCACGGAGCTGGTCCTTCCTTCCCCATCCTCCAGGTTTGCTGGCTGCCACCCTTCTGTCCCATCCATGCTGGGACTTCTAGTCCTCTTTGTCCCTGACACAGGCAGACCTCAGCAGCCCCTCACCCCCCTGGCTTGCAGCCTGGCCTCCTGCTGGAGGAATCCACAAACAGGCCATCTCCTCCCTTCCCCCTCATGCATGAATTCCTGGGCAGGTCTGGAGACCTGAGAGACAGGGCCCGTCGCCATGGTAACCCGATAGGAAGTATCCGGTTACCAGCTCTATTCTTAAGGGTGAGCAGGAAAACCCCCATTGTGTTCTTCTGGCTGCGTGTGTGAGGGAAGGCTGGCTGAGGGCCAGCTCTTCTCATCCCCCGTCCTCCTCCTCAGCTCCTGGACTGTCTGTGCTGCCTCGAATCCCTGCACTGTGGAGGGATCTTCTGCTGTCCCCGTGAACCTGCCTGGATCTATCACCTACCTGGACTTAACCCCTCGTCCTCCGTGAACCTACCTGGACTTAACCCCTGTGTTCTCCGTGAACCTGCCTGGATGTAACCCATCCCTGCCTGGAGCCTCCTGTGTGGACTAACCCTGTGGATTACAATACCCCTGTTCTTCCATATTGCCTTCCAGAGAACTGTACTGTGTTGCTGTGTCTGGTGTGGATCTGTGGACTAAAGGAACTGTTGTCTGTGCCCCAAAAACCTCCCCAATAAAAGCACGTTGGGTTCTGTGCAATCTGTCTCTGTGTGCTCTCTGGTTCTCTTGACAATCCCCCATAGTAATTCATCCCCCATATAGTAATTCATCCCCCATAGTAATTCATCCCCCATATAGTAATTCATCCCCCATAGTAATTCATCCCCCATATAGTAATTCATCCCCCATATAGTAATTCATCCCCCATATAGTAATTCATCCCCCATAGTAATTCATCCCCCATATAGTAATTAATCCCCCATATAGTAATTCATCCCCCATAGTAATTCATCCCCCATATAGTAATTCATCCCCCATATAGTAATTCATCCCCCATAGTAATTCATCCCCCATATAGTAATTCATCCCCCATATAGTAATTCATCCCCCATATAGTAATTCATCCCCCATAGTAATTCATCCCTCATATAGTAATTCATCCCCCATAGTAATTCATCCCCCATATAGTAATTCATCCCCCATATAGTAATTCATCCCCCATAATAATTCATCCCCCCTATAGTAATTCATCCCCATAGTAATTCATCCCTCATATAGTAGTAGTAAGTAAGTAGCAAGTAGTAAGCCAAGTCCCCCCTGTGTCAATTCACTTACCTTTGCTCCGCGCGTTCCTCTCGCCGTGTTCCCGCGCCGTTCCGGTCTTCAGGGCGGACTGTGAGAGGAGCCTAGCTCCTCTCACGTTCGTCACGCTGCCCCGCCTACACACATCCTGACAGCCAATCACTGGCTATCAGGATGTGAGTGGCAGCGAGACTGGCCAATCATTGCATTTGAGCGCGCTGCCCTGGCTGTTTTTTTTTTGGGTAACGCTGCAGAGTCCCTGCCGCCCAAGAGGAGGGAGGGGAGCGGGCGCCCGGCACACAAGAGCCGCATTAAAGCGTGTAAAGAGCCGCATGTGGCTCGCGAGCCGCGGCTTGCCGACCACTGGCCTAGGCGATCGCAGCAGAAGTGGGTGCTGGTACCTGTCAATTTTGGGTTACCCGCTCTCCCGAGGTGCCAATCCTTAATGGGGAGCGGGAGACCAGTCTTTAAAGTGGAACTTCCCTTTTTGGTTGGAGCTGCATTTTAATTAATTCCAGATCTAAAAGGTGTATACTTTCCCTGCTACTCCCAGGTTAATTTGATATTTATATAATAAATATTCATATTATTCATGAATTCGCATACAGTAGTGCATTTTGTTACCCTTTCCACAATATAATGAGGTCATCTATAAACCTTCCATATAATGGTAATTCCTCCTCCCATTTTGGCATATAGAGGTTTGCTATACTTAAAATTTTGCACCCATTGTGTTTTAAGCAAAATTCCAAACCCTTTATAATAAACCTTCTATGTTCAGAAGTTAATGTGCCGCTCAAATACAATGCCCATTTAGCCGTCTTTATTACTCCCTCATTGTTAATCTTAATGTACAATGATGAAACATCAGCTGTTGCCGTGATGGTTTATTGTGTGACCTCACTCATTTGTAATAACTGAACAATATACTTAGTGTGCTTTAGGCATGCTTATGTGTCTTGTACCAACCAGTGGCTGTAACAATATAATCAATTTACTCCCCCAGGGGCTGCCAGGGAATTGACACTGTTTAAAATGGGACACCCTGGCCAGTGTTTACTATTTTTGTGGATCTTTGGTACACAATAAATTATTGGTATTTTACTTGTAGAGGAAATTAAGTTTCTTCCCTTTGTTTAGAATACCTTTATTTGCTCCATATTTAATATCCTTCGCTAACTCTTTTTTTTAATTGGTTGGTTGGATTCATTCTCAAGATCTCTTATGCTTTTGTAGTAAGAAAAATTTGAGCTCACTTCAAGGATAGCTAGTCGACACCCGGTCATCTCTCTGATTCTTTGATACTGTATCAAAGAATCAAGCTTGTGACATGGTTTAAAACCAGTTAGAAATATTTATATTATGTGCTTTATGTTTTCTATGTTTTAGAATCTGTAGCTCACATTTAGAGATATTGCGTAATTTCCACTTACACAAAGATGTTAGACATGATCGAGTGTCAACTAGCTATCCTTGATGTGAGCTCAAACTTTTCTCACTCCAAAAGATGTTATGTGTTTTTTTTACATAAGCATTACTCCGGGACTTAGATTCAAATCTACTTGTGCACATGTTCACTAAAGCTCAAGTTGAGCTGTTTTGCGATGAACTCTTACAATTTCAAAGTAGTTTAGAATCTAACATAAATTCAAGCCAGTTTTGGCACTAATTTTAGTCTTTAGCTCAAAGGATGATGTTAGTAACTTTATAAAAGCTCTGCATCAACAGGGACATGGATTCTAGACTACTTGAGTATATATTTACTCTCAAATTTAACTCATGCTATTTTGTGATAAATTAATATATCCAAAAGTAATTTGAATTAAGTTTATAACATAGGTTCAAGTCAGTTCAGCATCCTTTTACTATGCTCTTCAAATCTTTGGTTTCTGTGGTATTCTGTGGTTTATATACTTCAACAAGGAAGCAGGGATCACACACTAACAGAGATTTTAGCCATATTTTGGCATATTTTCTTTGCATTTCAAGCTAATAAATTAAATCTGAGTTGTGTGATATAAATACTCAAAAAGTTAAACTAAAGTGGCTTCAGATTGCTTTGTAATGTTTCTATTTGTTTTAAAACATGTAGCTCTATTACATTTTATAATTGAAATAGGCAAAGTACATGGAATTGAAAGTAAGGCATGACTTATTTATTACAGGTACTTATATAGCTCCATCAATTTACACAGCACTTTACACATACACTCACTGGATACTTTTTTAGGCACACCTTGCTAGTACCTTGCTAGTACGGGGATTGGACTCCCTTGACTCCAGAACTGCCTTAACTGTCTTCATGACAGATTCAACAAGGTGTTGGAAACATTCCTTAGTAGGCATGGTCTGGATGTTTGAGTTGAACACAAGTTCAACTCGAACATTGGCTATTCATGTGTTTGGCGAACACATGAATGCTTACAGCGGGTCAATGAGTTGATCGCTCACCATGCCCCACAATGCACTGCACTTTTCACTGTGATTGACAAAAGCAATGCACCTGACCACGCAATTGTTTACATCTAACCGGCAAATGTCAGATTGCAGTGAGTGCTCAGAGGGTGTGGACAGGTCAGCAGATGTTTTTTTTTTTTCATTTCTGAGTGTCAGCGTCGTCGTGACAACACTGGAAACTATTTTTTTTGTAATAAAGGTCTTTTCAAAAACTTTTGTTTTTTGTTTGTACCCTTTACTCATTCACAAGGGGGCAGCATCAGGGTGCCCCCTTTTTTAACCACTTGCCTACTGGGCACTTATATTCCCTTCCTGCCTGGGACAATTTTAAGCTTTCAGCGCTGTTGCACTTTGAATGACAATTGCGCGGTCATGCAACACTGTACCCATATGACATTTTTATCATTTTGTTCACACAAATAGAGCTTTCTTTTGGTGGTATTTAATCACTATAAACAAAAAAAGAGAAAAAAAAAAAAAGTTTTTCTTTGTTTCTATTATAAAATTTTGCAAACAGGTAATTTTTCTCCTTCATTGATGTGCATTAATGAGGCTGCACTGATGAGCACTGATAGGAGGCACTGATAGGCGGCACTGATGAGCTGGCACTGATGATGTTGCACTGATAGGCGGCATTGATGGGAAGCACTGCTGGGCACAGGTGGGTGGCACTGCTGGGCACAGGTGGGTGGCACTGATCATCAGTGCCCTGATGATCAGTGCTGATCACTTATCTGACAATTGTCGGTTATTGGCAGTAATTTCCTCACACTGTGACAGTGTGAGGAAAGTGCAGCCAATAACTCGCAACTGTATTTACCCGGTGCTCTGCTGTGTCATTGTTAGCCATAGGACACAGCGATCGCCTGCAGAGTGTACTGGGATGACGTTCATGAACATCGTCCCAGAACTAGACAACCGTGCTGTAGCCGTCTTTCAGCTATAGCGCGGTAGGGAAGAGGTTAAAGGGGTATGTAATGATTGTGCGATATAGAACCTGTATGTGACAGCCATTTTTGTTTTTCATGAGCAATGATCCCCTCCTCCCTCCTAAAATCTGGAATTTGTAGCTGTAACTTTTAACAAACTTCAAAAGAACCTCTTATCTTAACAGAGCTGGCCAGGCTGTAAACAGCTAATTAATCTTGGCAGGATGTCTGTTTCCACTAACCATGGAAAACACTTTCCTCTGCCCTATTGTAAAACAATAACTCAGTCAAGCCATTACACATGACCTGTAAGGCCATTAATTCTCTAGGAATGCAGAACGTGCCATAAAACGTCTATTCCACAACTTAACAATTCCACATACATTTCATAGAATTCAACAGGAACAGGACACATTAATATTAGGTATATATTTGAATGGGGAATATCCTATCGAACAAATCCAAGTCATACATGACTATGTTAGCACATACAAAAGGGGAGAAAGCAGTCTCCTGCCTCCTGAGTGACTGGTTTCTCCTAGGAGTAGGTACACTGGATTTGGTATCCCTGGGTTCGAAACATAATTCTGAATATTGATCTGCCAGTTGCTAGCATACCACCTGCACATACTGGAGGTTATTAATATTAACCCCTTATCATATCATATCATAGAAAAGGGACTGAAAGAACTTGTGGGCCAGGAACATCCATATTTCAATAAATTGAGGACCCTGAGATATGGATGGTGTGATTCGTACGGAGCTGGTTCCTTTTGACTGGCGAGTCACAAACTTTCTTTGACTTGCTCCAATCACAAGATACATCTTGGTAAGTTTTATTTCTGTTTTTATTCCCCTTTTATTTCATAGTGAATAGCCAATTGTGTATATTTTGTCTTTTTTGTATTTTCTGTAACTCTTTTTTCTTTGTAGATATTTTATGCACTGCCCACTTTTGGGATATTAAATCATACAATTAATAAGTGACTTCTGTGTACTTAAACTCAAGCTCATATCTCCGGAGAGATTGTTGTGTCGTAGTGTCTA